ATACAGACTTGCAGCAGAACAAAGAGAAGGCCTCTGGTTAACCACTGCTCAATAACATTGCATGTGGGCTCGCACCGCACCCAGAATCAATGAAAGCCAGTGCCCCATTCTTATTCCCGTAGAATGGGAAGTGATATTTTCTTTGGCCTGTGTGATGAATTTTATAGGCCAAAGTACAGTAGCTGCAATGTGGTATTGTGGCTTCTCTTCAGTTATGTCTTGAAAATAAAATAAAGGGAAACAACTGAAAAGGAGTGAGACAGCCAGTTCTCAATCAGTTTTAGCACCAAGTAACATCCTGTATAAGTGGAGTTCTTCCTATGAGAGAACACTCCAAGCCATTTATCTTGGTTTCCAGACCACAGCCTGTTGTACTGACTGTGGAAATCAACAATGGGCATGGCTCTTATTTACTCAGTATATACATACACCTGGTTATCATCTATGAAATCTCAAGTACTTTTTTTCTGGGTGTGGTGTTCTTGCCAAAGAACATGTTGTTTCTGAATTGGTTCACAATAACACACACTTTATAAGCCTCTAACAAGGTTTCCTGCAGGCTTTCAGGAGTACTAATATTATGGCAGCAGAATGTAATTCAGATGTTATCCAGTAAGATACTGCATTCAGCAAAATGTAACAATGTGCTCCTTAAAGTACACTACCTGGCTTTTTATATCTTCTCTCAGTAGACAGCCATGGCAAATGAGACTTATATCTACATTGATTGTTCTATAAGGTGTAAAACTACCCTGCCTTCTAAATGAGACTTCCCTTGACATGAGAAACACTTGAAAAAGCAAATACACAGCATTCACGAGGTTTTTAAGTCAAAGAGCACAGATAACATTTCTTATTGTTTTCTAGCATTGAGTTAAATCATTGGCTTTCAGCTTCTGGTCCAGGGATGCTTGCTGAAAGTTACTGGGCTAGTCATATGCTTCTGTTTTTTTTCTCTTTCTTCCTCATGGCAACCAAGGTCAAATTAAAAGTAGAAATTATTAAAAAAAAATAGAATGTGTAATTCTCTGCTAGAAAGAAATAATTCCACATAATATTCTGGGGAAAATATTCCTCTATTTTTTCACTAGCTGGTGAAGATATTTTTTTTTTTTTTTTATGAACAAAACTTTCTTTTCATTAAAAGATCAGTCTTCTGTGTAAGTTTGAAGATGTATATAATTGTTCCCAAATATCACTGCCTCATGAAACTAATTGCAGTACTGGCTATGGGAATATTATGTATTGCAAATAGGAATAGCAGTGTACCTGACAGTTGCTTCAACACACTGAAATAAAATGGAAATGTTTGTGGGCCCTAGGCAAGACAAACTTAATCAGCAAATAGATAACTTTCACTCTGAGTTCACATCACTGCATGGGTGTTAAAAACTATTATTTACAGAGGTGCAACTCAGTGTTTGTAGCCTATAGCATGAAAACATTCTGAACTAGCAAGTTTAAGCAGAAAGCACATGCCTACAATGTCACCCTATATATGGGCTAGGGTCTACAAAATTTAGGTGCTGCAGTAGTCACTATTGAAGTATCTAACTTAAGTGCCCCATGATCTAACAAAATTTTAGCTCTTCAGTTACTTTCTACTCTGTATGGGGAGAAATATAGGGGATTAAGAATGGGATTCACACTTATAAACAGCTGAGGGCAGGTCTGTAGAAAACATTGGGCATGTCTACATGTTAATTTAAGTGGGCTTAAATTCAATGTGCATTAAGCTAATGCACATTAAGCATTTTTGTCAGGTGTCTACATCTAGTGGGATTTGGGACTAACTTTAGTACCAGGTCAGTGCAGCCCTGCCATGTGCCATGTGCATGGCAGAGACACAAGCAGCATGTGCCTGCCTGCCCTAGCTGTTTGTGGGTGCTAGGGCCAGGGATCCCCAGTCCTCAGGGCTTCTGCAGCTGTCCTACTTACACATTGCCATCTGGGTGTCTGCCACTTGGCCACCTAGCACCACCTGACTCCCCCACCAGCTCTGGCCTCTTGCTTTTCATAGACATCAGGGCTAGAAGGGACCTCGGAAGATCATCGAGTCCAGCCCCCTGCCCAAAGGGCAGGAAGTCAGCTGGGGTCACAGGATCCTAGCAAGATAAGCATCCAGTTTGCTCTTGAAGGTGTTCAATGTAGGCGCTTGAACCACCTCCGGTGGCAGGCTGTTCCAGACCTTGGGGGCTCGGACAATAAAGAAATTCTTCCTTATGTCCAGCCTGAAACGGTCTTGTAGTAGTTTATGACCGTTCGACCTCGTCATCCCTTGGGGCGCTCTAGTGAACAAACGTTCCCCCAGATACTGGTGGTCCCCCCTGATAAACTTATGGGTGGCCATCAGATCACCCCTGAGCCTGTGCTTTTCCAGGCTAAAGAGCCCCAGGGCTCTCAGCCTGTCATCGTAGGGTCTGCTTCCTTGACCTCTGATCATGCACGTGGCTCTTCTCTGGACTCTCTCAAGCTTCTCCACATCCTTTTTGAATTGTGGAGCCCAAAACTGGACGCAGTACTCCAGCTGCGGCCTCACTAAGGCCGAGTACAAGGGGAGAATGACGTCCTGGGATTTGCTTGAGAAGCATCTATGGATGCAAGCCAGCGTTTTGGTCGCTTTACTAGCCGCAGCATCGCACTGCAGGCTCATGTTCATCTTGTCCATCGATTACTACCCTCTGGGTCCGACCCCGGAGCCAATTTTCCAGCCAGTGGATCGTGGAGGACCCAAGGCGACAATTGGCCAGTTTCTCCAAGAGGCGATCATGGGACACCAGATCGAAGGCTTTTTTGAAGTCAAGATATATGACATCAATCTCTTCTCCCTTGTCCAGGTGATAGGTCACCTGGTCGTAGAAGGAAATGAGATTGGTCAAGCAAGACCTACCCGCAACAAACCCGTGCTGGCTATCCCTTAAGATGTTGGCGTCGGCCAGTCCATTAAGGATGGCCTCTTTAATAAACTTTTCTAAGATCTTCCCCGGGATAGAAGTCAGGCTGATGGGCCTATAGTTAGCCGGATCCACTTTCCTCCCTTTCTTGAAGATAGGCACCACATTGGTCTTCTTCCAGTCTTCGGGCACTACACCAGAGCGCCAAGAGTTTTCAAAGATCCGTGCTAGAGGCTGGGCTATGATGCTCGCCCGCTCCTTGAGTACCCTGGGGGGAAGATTGTTAGGGCCGGCTGACTTGAAGGTATCCAGCTTCTCAAGATGTTCCTTCAGAAAGTCAGCATTAATGGAGGGCAGGGGATCACCCTCACCCGGACTTCCCGGCCCTGTAGCGGGCATGGGCGTCCCATGGGACTGATGAAAGACTGACGCAAAGTACCTATTTAATAGGTTGGCTTTTTCGTGGGCGTCAGTTGTCAGTTGCCCCATCTGGGTCAGCAGGGGTCCAATGTTGCCCCTGCTTTTCCTCCGGCTCCCCACATATCTGAAAAAGGACTTCTTATTGTCCTTGATGCTCAAAGCTAGCTGGAGTTCAGTTGCAGCCTTGGCTTTCCTGGTCTGCTCCCTACAGGACCGGACCAGTGCAGAATAATCCTCCTTGGAGGTGACTCCCATCCTCCATCCTTTGTAGGCCTTTCTTTTTAGCCTCAGGAGGTCTGCTAGGTCCCTGGAGAGCCAGGGGGGCTGCTGTGCCCTCTTGCTGCCTTTCCTCCGAGATGGAATAGACTTAGTTTGTGCATTGAGGATCGCTCCCTTGAGGAGCAACCACTCTTCTTGAACTCCCCTCTCCCTATGGTCATGGTCCCTTAGGGCCTCACTGACAAGCTCCTGAGCTTGTCAACCCCTCCCTCCCTAAGAGTTCAAGGAGAGTTCAATCCCTCTCCCTCCCCTCTGCCCGAGCCTGCTGTCCCATTGGCCCATAGTTTTCTTGAGTCAGGTAGAGGTCATCCACGCACGAGAGGAAGCTTTGCGACCGCTCAGATTTTGCTGAATGATCCTCCCACGAGATGTCCGGGTAATTGAAGTCACCCATGACAACCATGGTCCTGGAGCATGCCGCCTCAGCCAGTTCCCAGGCAAACTCAGGACTCAAGCTCAGGTCAAGCTCAGGACTTTGGGTGGGAGGTCTGTAGTCTGCCTGCTGGATGACTACTACATGGTCTTCCAGGGCCTCTTCTGCCACACAGCTGCTCCTGCCAGCCCTGAGATCCATAGATTCCAGAACATCACCACTGGGATCACCATCACCCTCCTGTCTCACCAGCCCTGCTGGCTCTGGGAACAAATGCACCAGCCAGCATTGGTGGCAGTGCATGGTGCTGCAGGAATGGGACAATGATCAATGGACATTACAGATGACTTGGGTCAGCTTTGAAGACCTGCTGTGCCAGTTCTAGCCCCACCTGGAGCGCTAGGACACAGGAACACTCAGACGTCTCTGTAACATCCACCTGCCACACCACCCACACCCCTCCTACCCCCTGCCCACCTCCCAGCATCACTCCAGGACACGCACATGTTTCTAATGAAAACCTTTATTCCCCTCACAGGCCCTCACCCCCATCCCTTTCACCTCCCCCCTCAACCAACAGAGTCCCCAATGCTCTCCCTACCTGTCAACAATAAAAAACCCTCCTCCCAAACTGAAAACTATATACAGCGGTTACAGTCTTTGTCTGAGTCATGGAGTGGGGGGCTGAGGGGTGGAGGTGCCCAGTGTGCAGAGCCTGGTGGTAGGCAGCCAGCACATTGGCTGTTGACAGTTCCCCTGTGGTTCCAGGGGCCGCGATGAATGCCAGGGGCTCTTGTGGGCAGGAGACAGCAGAGGCCCTCCTCCAAGGCTCAGGCAGGGGCCTGCCGTGGGGTAGTAGGTGGGACCCAGGGGCCCTGGCTGGCCAGTTGCTGCTGGAGCAGCTCCACACAGCGCTGCTCCAAGCCTTGCAGCTAGGACCAGTGTGCCTGCTGCTCCCTATCCCATGCCTCCTTCTGGGCGGCCTCCTGAGCAATGTCCTCATCTCACCAGGCCAAATCCTGCACCTCCCATACCTGCTACTGCACCTGCTCCCATGCCACCCAGCTCTCAACTGCTGCCACCAGCTGCTGGAGTAAGAAGATCCAGTCCCTGGTGTGCTGGTGGCACAGCCGGCATGTCCGGGCAGCTCCAGTGGTGAGTAGCAGTGACCCTGCTGCACTATTCCAGAATAGCCCTGCAGCCTCTCCCCCACATCTGGATGTTGGACCTGAAAAAGCAAGAAACAGAAGGATTTTGTACAAGTTTGCAACATTGCAGAGATAAGATTCACCAAGGTACCTGCGCTGCACAGCCTCAAATCAGAGGTTGGCTGTGTGTGGGTGCCCAGGGACCATGGTAAGCTGTTGGGGCAGAGCTCGGTCCAGGTGGCCACTGGCTGAGCACCCTAGCGCCACTCCTCCCAGCTGCTTACTGCAGCTGGCCTGGGCTCTGAGCAACTGCTGCCTGTCACAGAGCCTGAGCTGCTTGTAGCAAGGCTTTCAGCCTCCTGGCCACCTGCTTTGAGCAGCCCAGGATCCATGGTCAGCAGCAGCTGTCCAGAGCCTTGGATGGTTATGGCGTGCTGAGCAAAATGGCCTTGTGTGCCAGCAGTTGCTGACCCCTGATCTAGAACATCCTTCAGGGGCAAGGGGCCTAGTTTTTTAAGTAATACAGCATGTAAGTGGAGGTAGCTATACAAAATCTTTGGTAGTTAGGACATTTACTAGTTGAAACATAGGTGTCTAAGGATTCTGGGCATCTTCAGGGTTAGGTTGCAGCTGAGTAGAGGTTTTGGGAATCTAATTTTGGGTGTACTCCCCTAAATATGGCTGTTGGGCTTCAATATGCTTTTGTGGACCTAATCCCATCTGTCTGTTGATAGTGCTAAATCTGTTTTTCTTTACTACAAAAACATTAACCTTGATTGCTATAGCAAGGAATCGGCTAGTATTCTTGCACTGTTCCCTGCAGGCTCACTTTGTCTGTGAACCTATTTCCTTCTGCCTCTAAGAGATACTTCACTCATTTTTATGCTTAGGCTGGAGATTATAGGACTCCCCTGCTCATATATAAGATAGATGAAGGATCTGTCTACATTTCACAAACAGTGCAGTGTATATATCAACACTGGAAGCAGTCTAGTTGGGGGAAACACGTTACAAGCACATTTTCCCTGCTAGAAAGCTAAGTTAGAGGTATCTTAATTATTTCTACAGTGCACTGAAGGTTACAGTGTAGATCTCCTCCCAGAAGGAGTACCGAATAGTCTATACAGAGTGTAAGGTCAAACCCTGGACATAAATGTAAGTAAAAATAAAACCTATGCCTAGCTGTGCAGTGACTTAGAAGCTGAACTTTCCACCTGTAACACTTCATTTGGCAATACCACTGAATTCTGGGTATGTTTCTTGAGTACTGCTGTCAAAATTTTTTTCTGATAGAACATTTTTCTATTGTAAAGTTCCATTTCATCAAAATGGAATAGTTGATTTCAATGAAATTGTGTTTAATATTTTATAGTGTTTTAATAAAGTAAAAAAAACAACCCTGTGACATTTTATGTATGGAATGTTCTGCCTTTCATTTTGAACAACTTTTCATTTTGCAATCTGCTTTATTTTGCAGTAATGCAAATAAATAAACAACAAAAGCATAACTAGCATGGTTTCCATTCAGGGGAGCTCCCAAAATTCCCTGCCTGCTGCTGCCATTGTGCATTCTGCCCATGTTGATTTCTGGCATGGTGCCACTATTGTCACAGTATGGTCTCCCCGATACTGCTTCCATTCTAGTGCTCCACTAAATTGGTACCTGGAGCTGATGTCCCACTTGCCCACCCAAAATTACATGACTGAAGAAAATCTAGTCTAAATCAACACAAAGTAAACTTACTTAATGGATTCCTTGGTAGCAGCCTCCTTTTATCTCCTGCTCTCTTCTTGGTTGACATTTCAGGTTCTTTTCCATCAGTTGCTCTGTGTCTGTAATGTATGCAAGATCATATATACACCATACCTGCAACATGTCCCTGAGCACTCCCTGCCACCTACACCTCAAGCATATTCCAAACCCAGAAGTACACCAGTGAGGACACTCTAGGATTGTCCCTGGTTCTGGCTCTTGACTATGGAGACCCAGGTCTTAAGAGTAGCCACAGTTCCTGAATGTGTATATGAAATAGGTGGGGTGTGCTGGAGAATAGCACAGCAAGATCAGTCTGCTATTGAGGTGCAGACAAGCCCAGAAAAACTGGAGGAGATGTTTTTGTGGTTCCTTTTGAACAAAGAGTTGCCTTTGACCTAGGCAGTGGCCCAGGAGCTCAATTTTGGTCCCGTTCTCTTATGTTCCTAAAACTGACCAAGAATGATCATTTCCTTTTTAAATATCATTCATAATACATTTTTATGAACATAAACATTGTCCTTTTGAGTCAAACCAAAAAGCTATCTAGCTCAGAGGCATAGCTAGGCAGTTCTGCCCCCGGGTGGCAGCAGCACACGGGATAGCAGCAATGGCCAGCTTGCCCCTGATGACAGCACTGGGCCAGCAGTGGGTTTGGTGAAGTTTGACAGCATTGCCCACTTGCCCTGTTTGAGTTACAGGACTAATTTAACTCAGTATCCTGCTTCTGATGGTGGCAAGTAACGGATGCTCAAGAGGAAATGCTTTGTTTTCATTCTGACTGAGCAGAATGGGATGTTTACTGTGTACACATGCTGACTTCATTAATATTACTATTTAAATAATCCATTCTCTGAACTTCTTTACACATGCTGCCTAGGCAATAACTTCTCATCTGGACAAGCCATTTCACTACAAAGAGACTGTTGGCACAGCAAAGTGCAGCGCTGGCTGCTGTACACTGCCAACATACACTGATACAGGCAAATTGAACTGTGAGAAATAGTGGAATATAGTGATCAAGTCTATTACTGTTACTCATGCACAAGATGCATTCTCATTGCAAAGTTAACCAAGGTGATCTGTGTCCCATGTAAGTACCTGGATTAGCCTAGGTCAGTTGCAATGATGAAATGGGTCTCAACTGTATGTTCTTAGAGACGTAGTGTGATGCCTGACTTGTTCCACTGTCCAGGCTTCTCCCCGTAGAACTCCATGGAAAGGCACTGCTTGGAATATTAGAGATTTAAAGAAAAAATGTAGCATTTTAAACTTTTGTCATCATGCCTTAAGTCTATTGGGTTTAGCACAGCACGTGAGCAAGGTGTGTGTAGCAGGACTGAGCCCCAGTGGTGGCCATGATGCTCCCTGGTGTCTATGACTCCTGCCTTGCTTAAGCTCCTCAGGTACTCTCCCTCTTCTCCTGCTTGCCATGTCTTGATGTAGTAATTGGTTTATGAAGAGGAAGGCTGCCCAAGGGTCCTAGAGCAAGCCCTAGTCCATCCCTCTGCCAGTGGATCTCTCTTGGACCCTGTCAGTCCTACTCCTGTCCTGACACTCAGTGGACTCTCCTGGCCTGTCCATACCCCAGGGTACCTGTTGCCTTATGGGCATTTGAGGGCCAGTGGGCACTGTCTGCTGTGCTCTGCTTGGTGTTCCCCCTCAGTGCACTAATAATAAACCTTTGACCTCCACTCCTGTCCTTCTGTTATCATTTGCCCCCAGAAATCAGTTGCCACTTTCCCAATAGCTTCCCCTTCTGAGTTTCACTTGGTGGGCTTTTTACCCACGACCCCGTAAAGACTATTTATAACTTTTGACCTCCCTTGTAGCCATGCCCATGCCTCACAGATGTTACCTATCAGTCCTTACATGGGGCAATCTGTCCCTTAGCCAATATCAGGCCACCTCAGGCCTCTTCATCCTTCTTGGGGCCTCAGGCTTCTCAGCCTCTGCTCCTTTTCTCTTGCTGGTCCCTTTAGCCTGGGTCCACAGTATTGGACCTGGCTTCTGGGGTTCAGCTTCTGTCTTGCTCTTTCGTGCACAGGTGTTGTCCTCTTGGCTTTGTCCCTCTTTGGCTTTGGGTCCCTGGCCCTGGTTTCACCACTCTTGGGCTTTGGCCTTAGCCTTCTCATCTTCAGGTCTTCTCTAGCTCACCCTTTTGGACCAGGGCTGTGGGACACTGGTCCTTATTGTGCCATTTTAGGCTGCAGTGTCAACCCTTTGGGCTTTTTGCCTTCTTGGGATTTGGCCCCCTGGCCCATCTCTGCCCTGCTCAGGCACTTGGCCCCTTGGCCCTGTCTGTGCTCAGCTTGGGCACTGGGCCCCTTGGCCCTGTCTCTGTCTTGTTTGGGCAAGGCTTCAGCCTCTCCTTAGGCTACAACTCCCTTCATCATCACCACCTATCCATACTTTGAGCTCAGCCCCTGGCAGGGATCAATGCCACCACATGCCCCTTGGGCACTGCTGGCACTTCCACCAACCTGATAGCCCCAACTCAAACCATCAATGTGAAGCAAACAAAAAAACATAAGCACTTTGACTATAACTAAAACTCTTAGCTCACTGGCTGTATACCAACCCCCCTAAACATCCTGGGTCCTAGCCCCTGCCAGCCCTCAGCTCCTTATTTGTTGTTTTTAGGCATAGCAGGATCACAACCAATCATCCAGCACCAACCATCTTGATACATCTTGCTAAGCTCTTCCACCTGCAGGGACAGGCTTTCTGACTGAGCTTATATGCATCCCAAGCCCTGCCCCTCCTGGTCAGGTGGCTCCCCAGCCACCTGCAGGGGGTTCCAATCAGGACCTGATGGCTAGCTCCCAGGGAAGCTTGCAACTGCTGCTCTGGCTGCTTTAGGAGTGCACTTAGAGCTCTGCTCTATTGTCCTATTGTAGAGTGAGTAGCACAGTAATAGGCACTCATATGACTATCTATTTGCCTACAGCCAGCTCATTAAGTGCAGTTTTTTTTCCACCTGGGACCCTCCCTGTTGCTGCTTTTCCCTCAAAGTAACAGGGATCCCTTGGATCCCTGTTACTTTGAGGGAAAAGCAGCAGGCTTTTTCTTGGATCCCTTGGATCCCTGTTGCAGAGTGCTTATCCTGAACCCAGTGCTGCTGTTAGGTCGCAGACTGATTCAGGTAGATGTCTCCCTCTGACTAGTCCAGATCCTAACATAATAGCAGCCTGCCAACTCTGATGATATAGTTTCCAGGAGGACTGGGAATTTTGTCACACCCCTGGACTTAGTGACCCTATTAGCTAACTGCCTGATGAGGGCTTGAGTAATCTTGCTCATTATTGGGAGTCACCTAGGTAACTTATGCTCCTAAGCCTGTCAATTAGGTTTGCTTCTGTGGGGCAAGATGCCTGAGTTTTATGCACTGAAATGCCTTAACAGAAATGCCTTAAAGGTTGATGAGGAGCTGGACTGTATTTCTGATTTCCAGTAATGTAAGTCAGAGCTGAATCAGGCTCTTCAAGAGCAAGTCATTGTATAAATCTAATTTATCTTTTTTAGAAATCCAAAAGCAAACTACTTATTTCAATTTTCATGAATATAATGTAGTGTTTGAAGGCACTTCAAAGGTTGTGTTTCAAAACCTGAATCACAGTGGGCACAGTCTGGGAATGGGTTAAAATGTGCTAGGGCCCTGCAAAGAGATTATTCAAACACATTTCATTACATCAGCTGTGAAGTATTTCTGCTTTGCAAGCAAAGCAGGAGGAACATGAGCTATGTTGTTTTCTAAAACAAAGCTATTTCCTCTTACCACCATTCACAACTGTGTATGGGACCACATGACTCTGCTAGATGCTTGGTACTTTTATTCCATATAAGGCAATAGGAGTCGTGTGTATCGCACTGTTTGTTTACAACGTTGAGATGGCCGGAGAGATGTAGAGCAAAGTCCCCACAGGCTTTTTACAGAATGTGCACATTTGTACCTCTGGTGGAACTAAATTCCATTTAGTCGTAAATATTGACTCAGCAGTGGTTTCTGCTTTCAGTTTTACTGCGAACAATGGCACTGGAGATTATTAAGCTTAGATGCTGTATTTTTGCCTGTAGTGTGGATCAATGACTGCTGATAATGAAGCCACTTCTTTATAAGTTTACTTTAGTCAACGAACTGTTGGACTATGGAAACTAGAATGATTCTTGTGAGGTATAACAAAAAGTTTCTTCCCTATCAAAACACTAAATAATTTTCCTTCTTTTTTGATTTACTGACTTCGTTCCAATGAGATGCTCTGCAGATTTGCTCAAATGAGAAACTGACAGGAAGAAAACGAATATTTCCATTAAATAAATGGTTCTGCTCTTCCCTGTATTATTCTCATCACTTAACTCTAATATACACAGGGCTGAGGCAAGATTGGGACCCTCTTGTTCATTGTGCTTTCAGACACACATTAAAAGATGCTAGCCAAGGGAGTTTCCAAGCAAGGTTGGACAGATATCTTAACAAAACTTCTGTCAGTATTTGCCCAAACAAAAGGGTTTCTTTGTTGTATGCTTTAGTTTTTAAAGACAGAAACTACTGGCAGGAAAAACCCTGGCAGGAGCAAATTTTAAATTAACTTGAAAGGTCATGTATGTAGAAATATAAATTTGTAAAGGTGAGCATTCCTGCCTAAAATCTCCTGTATCCAAGGAGAGAGAGAAACAATTGTATGTGGGGCCCATCAAATCCAACCAACAGATCCCAACTTGTGAATACCAAATAGTGACAACAAAAAGCACTTGACTGGAGCTTGTCAAAAAAAATGAGGGGAGGTATTAAAGGGAATTCAGTGAAGGTGACAAAAAATCATTTTCATTGGAAAATGAAACTTTAAAATTGTCAACTGCACACAGGAAGGTTTTGATTTTGAGGTGAAAATTATAGATTTTTTTTTAAAGAGTAAGTATATTTTTTTGAAAGAAAGAAGGAAAGGAAGACTGTTCCAGTTAAAATTTTATACAATAGTTCTAACGTTCTTACTCACCATTGACCTGAAGATGAAGAAGTACTCAAATCATTCCTTTGAAGAATAATTTACAATAATGAATAGATCTGAAAAAATGTCCATGATAATTCACAAATGCTAAAAGAGGCAAAATACACTGAATAAATGATTGCCTATTATGACATTTGCTTAGCTTTAGTTCATTACAGTTAAACTTTGTGACCATTAGACATTAGATCTAATCAGTTGTGCAAAAAGATTGTTATTTAGCTCAACTCCATAAGCAAAACTTAATCATGATGGAATTAGTCACTGGTGTCAAGAGAGGGATTATTATTATTTATTTCTAATTGCATCCACAATACATTAGACACTGCTTATTGAAAAGCATAGCCCCTGCCCTGAAGAGCTCAGCCACTCTGGTTCCTGTTCCCAGGATTATTTCTGCCACTGCCTGTCTAAGGTAAGATACATATACAGCCTTGGAGCAGGGAATTTTAAACTAGGTGTTACCCATCCCGATGGAGTGCTGTAACCAATAGCTATCAAGGAAGTCTCCCTTTTGGTTTCTCCCTATAGAAAGCTGTGCCTTCTTTAGCCTGACCCAGGACCCAGTTTGCTCACAAAGTTCAGTTATTTCTCTGTTTGAGTCCATTTTTTTTTTTTTACAAGGACTCTACTTGTCCTTACAACACACATGACAAGCAGTAACATAAGCAGCAGACAAACAATAAAAGCAAAACCTACCATCTTTCTTCAGGCCTTGGGAGAGAGACAACTTCCACCATGCTGCTTATCCTTAGCATACCAGCTTCCTTCTCCACTTTGCTACCTTCCCTGGGAGCTTTTAACTTCCTTCTAGGGCCAGTCAATCATCCTGTCACCTAACCCAGGGCTCCTGGACAGGCAGGCTTCTCTCTAACCCCCTGCAGCTGGGCTTCAGCCCCTGAGCCAGGCCCTTCATTACACTTCCCTTATGCCCCCATGATTCTTCTACTCTTGGATGCACAGTGGCCCAACTTCAATGGTGAAGGAAGGAGCCATAACTCCCCAAACCATTCTATCTGCCAGTGGTTAGGACAGTCTCCTGTGTGGTAGGAGATGTGGGTTTGAATCCTAGGGTGAGCAGGATTTATTGGCTTGTTTTCCAATTTCTGGACAAGTGCTGTAGCCAGAAACAGGCACCATCACCACTTACCATCTTTTCGAATGAAAGAAGCTGTACACACTATGCCTTGAGCTGGCCTCAGTGCTGTTGGTAGGTGTTATGTGTACTCACAGCATGACTTAAGGTGGCAATTAGAGACTAGTAACTCAGGTTGGGATACGTTTGCCCATTTGCAGAAAGCTACGTTTAGGTGCTGCCAGACATTTTTATTTCAAAGTGTAGGTGCTGAATGGATTTAGCCATCAACTAGTTTTGCATCCACTGGATTAGGGGATTGTAGTCCTAAATTATTTCCAGTTGCTTGTCCTCAGTCAACTAAGTCATTAATGTGTTGATTTAACTTATCTTTACTTAAGTTTCCTTTGTATAAAAACAAGATGACAGTCCTTTCCCTTGTAAAGCAAAGAGGGGCAGCTCAAATTCTCAGCACTACTTTCATCCCACTTTGGCCCCTGTGAGATAAAAGCATTAAATGAACTGTATTAGAACTATTATCATCATAAGAGGATATTCTGCTATTGATTTCTTAGCTTTATGTTTTGCATGTAATATGGGTTCTGTGTGTGTGAAGTCAGGGGAGATAGCCTTGGCTCAATCTGGCATAAATGTGATCAGGATCTGGCCCAGTGTATGTTGCCTGTAAGAATGGCTGCTAGAGACATAAAGCTGAGGGTATCTCTTAATACCTTGGATAGCTGCTAGCAGGAGATTTTCTTCCAGCTTACCAGGTAAGGATGCTGCCTGTGTATCATGAGGAGCTGGGATTTCCTGCTGGCTGGCATTTCATCAGCACAGCTGGTATTTTATCTTAAGGTCAATAAGGAAAGCTTCCATGTAACGATAGATGGTTTAATATTCGCACAAAAATACTGAATAGAGCCTGAGTTACACTTTAAAATATACAGTATTTATCTGGTATTTTTTCTTTGAAAAAAGACAACTGCATTTGAGTTGCAGCAGATCATGCATCCTCACATAGCTGGCCACATTCTGCTCTTATTTACTCTCCTGCAGCTCCAGTCAAACGAGCCGGAATGAATGGGTATAACTGAGAGTGAATCTTGCCTGGGGATTTCAGGCAAGGGGTGGAAGATTCAGCTTACTGGCTATAGCTGCTTGTGGATGTTACCCCCCCACAAACCCATGCTTTACCAGAAGAAGCAGCATGTTACTTTGACCCATTTGCACCATCTGTATAGATTAGATGCTTCAGCAGGCTTTTTGGTGCTTTTAGCTAAAGCCGATTCAATCAGAAGCACCAAAAAAAGCCCAACTTAAGCACCCAATCTATACAGCTGTCAGGTAGGTTTTGTAGCATTTTTGCATTTGTTTTCATTGCACCTCCTTTTGGCACAATCCTCTAGTTTCCTTCTTGAAGTCCCACAGTCATTTAGAATCAGTCTCACCAAGCCAAAGTACAAATCAGCCACTTGGAGTCCAAGTTGTTTTGTGCAGATAAGTCTGCACATTGCTCTAGACTGCAGAGTTCTCACATTGCAGTTATTCTTGTCATCAGCAGGAGTCACTGCAAGCACTATTTTAGTACCATATAGGTGGTGGTATGTGCAACTGCTGCCAGAATGCTTAGAAATGCTCTCAGTAGGGGTGTGATATGGATCTGATTTACATCAGGTCTCCATAATTATTGGCAAGCTCATTTTATGCCACTTATGGCAGATGCCATTATTTACTTGTGGAAGTATGTTACATAAACTATGACATAAATAAGATTTAATTTTATAAATAAGGTCCTATGTCCATACAGAAAAGTACAGTCATTTTTGTAACCAGGGTGGGAGTCAGGGAAAAGGCTGGTGAAATATTTTTTAAATGATTCTCCCCCCAACCCCAAACTTCAAATCATACTATAATCAACAGAATCAGGATTTAAACACTGGTTCCTGTATCCCATATGACTTCCTAAAGCGATAAGCTAATGATTACTCTGGGCTGGATTGTTTGCTCTTGGTCTGCCATCTCTATTCAAAACCCTTCAAAAAACCCATTTTGTAATGAAAACAAATTAAAATCCTCAGAATTTCTCACAAAGTAGAACAATTGTTTTTCAGCCAACTAAGGTTAGGAGATGAGGCTGAAGTCCTGACTTAATTTAAGTCAATGGCAAAACTCATCCTGATAGCATGGGACCAGAATTTCACTCCATTGCTCTCTTCTTAGCTCTTGTCTTGCTGCACAATTTAGCACAAGTGACTACAAGCCAGATTCTGCCTCCCTTCCCTTGACTGAATCTAATTCTCCAAGTAGCATTTTAAAAATCAATGGGGTTTCTCAGGGAATAAGATACTAGTCACAGGGCATGTCTACATGTGCAATCGATTCACAACAATGAACTCCAGCACATATCGTGCCGGAATTTATTATTCCTGGGTGTCACATTTGAATGTGTTCCTGGGACCCCAGCATATTGAGCTGGGTTGGAGCAGCCCCAGCTGGTAGGGGGCCAGAGGGTCAGCCTACCAGCTCCAACCCAGCTAAATGTGCTGTGCTGGGGCTGGCTGGGGCATGAGGGTGCTCCAGTGTAGGGTTAGGCAGCAGGCAGCCCCCGCACTGAAGCACCATTGTGCCCCAGCCAGCCTCATCAGCATCTACACGTATGCTGCTGTATACTAAATTTACAAATACTAACCTGTGGCAGAATTTATTAGTTTACTGTGGCCTGATAGGGCCTCATGCACAGGCCAAAACATAGAGACGTTTACTGTGAAGCTAATAAGTGACAGTGAGGCTATCAAGATCTGGGCTTTAACCAATGCAGCACCCAGTCCATCCCTGTTTGTTGGAAACACTGTATCTTCAGGGTGTTGTGAAGATTAATATGTTAGTGTTAGTAATGCATATTGAGATCCTTGGATGAAACATGCTGTAAAAGCTTGGTGTATTAGTATCAATAAGTACATATTAGAAGCATGATGGTATCAAGGAGGTCCAATGAAAAAGTCTTCCCTTTGAAGGATACCAATCCCAGTACTATGTGGATATAGATAATTGGCCATCCTCCCATTTCTTTTTATCTGTTGCATATAAGGATCATCTTATCTAGCAATTTCTCTCGAGGGTTGTGCTGTCATTTCAGCTCCACATGTCTAAACAAATTGGACAAAATTGTTGATGTAAATCCCCAAAGAACAGCAATGTATCTTTATTACAGTAATTATGGTCTATGCAGTTTTTTCATATAAAACAGATAGTTGGCTTTAATTTAAGTTCAAAAGACAGCAAAGTGCTTAGGGCAAAAATCTCAGGGAAATCAGATGATGTAAATGACGAGTTTTCTTTAAACATGTTAAAACTAGAAGAAAGATCTGAATCAGACCACCCTATTACGTGGAAAGCAAGTATTTCTAGCTAAGATGGCTCATCATATATTAGACCTAATGACCCCACTGCACAGGTTAGGAGGCATGAACCAAAACAACCTGTAGTCTTACTCTGACTCTATAAGCACAAGAAGGCTTAAAGACAAACAAACGTTAAAATGCCCACCTCTTTGATGTATCTAATTAATGTTTATGTTAAAGTCTTAGAAAATCCTCACTTGCAATTTGCATTTTTTAAACGTTTCCTTAATTCTGGTGGTGCCTGCTGCTTGCTGCTGTTATTAATGGTCCATCAGATTTTCACTGATTTAAAAAACAAAAACAAAACCCATCTTGAGGGATTTGTAATGTGCCCTTAAAATTCAATCCATGTAGAAATTTGGCAAAAAAAGCTCTCAGCAGTAGTGCAGTAGAAAGTGAAAGTGACTGGGACTAAAAGTTGGGGGAGAGTAGGAGACAAGGGGAGAAAGAGGGCAGAAAGCAATGGAGTGTCTGTAGTAAGCTGAAAAGGAGGGAGGCAAAGACAGAGAGTATCTAAGAGGGATTGAAGCTGCCTTATCTCTCACTCATGTAATTCAAACTGAGTCTGTTCATAGAATGGGATTTTGTATTTGCCAGTATACGAACGTTACAATTGGAATGCATCTTTGTTGTATATTGAAAGACCATAAAGGGAAGAATTATCAAGAGAATCAGACCAAGGTCCAAGCTCAGAAGGGACACAAGGTAGCAATGACATTTTGCTCGTACTTAAAGTGCCACTCCAGCAGATATGGGTAGGTGTTTTTCTTTACTACTATAGCTTTGTCTGTACCATTAATTCAGAAAAGCAGTAAGGTCACCTTATTAACATTATATCTCTATAATCCATGCATCCAATAGTACTATGCTTCCAGGCAAAAACTGATTATGTTGCAATTAAATTAATAATTATATTTGTATTTAAAGCAAGGAATCCTTAACCAAGAGACACTGGTCAAACTTCTTGTCCATTTCCTAAAGCACTCAATAACTGGGACCTCTATTCTTTTCTTTCTATATTCACCTTCCAGACTATTTATCATGCCTCTCCTGATGCCTTGGGCACCTTTCTTTGATAGTGTTTTCTCTGATTTCTTCTCTGCTGTTCCTCACCTGTGGAACAACCTCTTTTGAACTCTTTTATAATATAATGCTGTTACCCAATACTCATTCAAATTTCTCCTTAAGGGCTATATCTGTCATGACACTTGCAAGAAATTAATTAACCAACTAATTACAGGATGAAAGTTGGGAAGACAACTGGTACATGCATTTCC